CGAGAGCTCACGCACATGCTGCTAACACCAGCAGCTACCCTGTAATAACCCACCGTCCGTATCATTACCATTAATTATATATTAACATACCCCGTAATCTTAACTGCTGCTAAGTTGCATCTCGGGGGGTGCGAGCCGCTTTCAAAAGCCACCTGGCTGGTTCTCCTCTGGCTCTTACACCACCCGCCCCGGGAGAGGGGCTGGCGGCCAGGGCACGACTGGGATCCGGCAGGCGCCTGCGAGGATCAGGGCTGGGAAGGGCAGGAAGATCACCAGGGTAGAGTCACAGGGAAGGCACTGGTGTCCCAGCCACCCCGTGCTCCCGGGGGACCCAGAGTGGTTATGCAGGACCACCAAGCGTTAAGCGGCTCGAGCAACTCCCTCCCCAGCGCTGCGTTTCATCACTGCAGCACCGGGGAGCCTAGCACGGTCATAGCTGCCTGCGTGACCCCAACGGTGCTTTTGGTGCTCGTGACACAGGTGGGACCTGGCTGCACGAGAAGTGACACCAGAGCCCTCACTGGGGCTGGCGCAGGGGCTTGGCCACCCTGCTGTCCAGGCAGCACACGGGGAGGGCAGCTCATCCTAACCAGACCCTCAGACACTACAGGAATTCTCCAGATTCTGCACCTTCCCCTTCTCCGTGCCACCCCCAACCAGCTGGCAGCAAGACCCTCAGCACCCCTCACCTCACGCTCCTCCCAGCCCCTGAGCTTGCGGAAGGGCAGAATGATATTCTTCTTCCACCGAGTCAGGGACATTTGAGAGAGAAGCAACATGAGGCAGGTAACCAGTACCGCTTCTCGCCCGGGCAGCGCGGGGACCTCCCACACTCGTACCTCCATGCCCTGCCGCTGCCCCGGCTCAACGCTGCTCAGCCAGCACGCACAGGGCAGGGGAGGCTGCTGCTTCGAGCCCCTTTCTCGAGTTATCTCCTAAAAGCTGCACTGATCCCGCATCCAAGACAATCCCAGCATCGGCAGCACGGCTGGCACTGGGGCCAGACATTTCGGGTCTGTGCTGACAGAGCGAGCGTTTCTCCTTTCGATTCTCATAGGGGTAAAACACACACAGCATCCTCAACAAGACACAACTTCAGGAGGAAAGCAAGGATCTTCCAGAGACGCAGAGCTTTCACCATTTCGTCTCGAAGGCAGCACACCACCTTCCATTCATGATATAGCTCCAGCCAAAAAAAAGCTGGAAAGAAGCCTGGGGCTGGCTCTGCCCCGAAGCTGCAGCCGTTTCATGTGGCTCCAACGCCTCTCGCGCAGCAGCTCGCACTTTCAAAGAACCACTTGCATGCACACAGGCACACAAAACACAATTAATGAATGTTTCGCATCCCACTGTGTGTGTTCTGACACAGCCCCATTTGCCAAGAAAAAAAAAGTATGCGCGTGTGGATGTATGTATATACAAAGGCTTTAAAGAGGACGTTGCTTGCATTTTTACAGCTTTGTTGAAGGGTTTTGTTTTGTTTTTTTTTAATATAAAAGCCTAAAACAAATATAATCCAGAGAAAGGTTTTTTTTTTTAGATCTTTAATCCTTTACTGGCATGCATAACACCTGTAGAGCTCCGACACTCCCCAAGGAACATGTTTTATAGTAACTGTTTTAGACTGAAAAAAGGCAACTGCTCAGAAAAACATTGCTACTGGCTAGTATTACGCAAGCTGCCAACATGAGTATTCTTTCATGAAGGGAGAGGATTAAGCCTTTCAGGGAAGTCTATCACGGGATCGACACGGCAGCTTTACAAGCTTTAACTCTCAGGTGTTCCCCGATTGTAATAAGCTGCCTGCGTGGTGAAACCCTCTCGGGGCAAGGCACAGCAGGAGCCCACCCGCCTCTGCACAGGCGTGGTGCTGTGTGAGATGAACCCTCGTGCTGTGCGCAAGGATTCAGTTTATTACAGAATAACAATGATGAAGTTTTATTTCTTTCCTGTGAGTAAAACAAACAGGGAACCTAACAGGCCAACTGCGGTGCCATGTTTAAGCCTTTCAATGAACACAAATGCTCACCGCCAGTTTCAGCTAAGCAAACAGCCATCGTTCAGGACAGTTCTTCTCACTTCAACAAGGCAAGTTTTAGTCCTCTGAGGTGGACTTCTGCCTACATTTTGTCACCTGCAAGACTGCCTGGTATATATGTTCACTGGGTGGTTTAAAACACCTGAGTCAGCAAGCGCGCTGCATGCCAGTCACTTAAAAAGAAATTATTTTACTTGTAAGCAACAGAGATTTGGGGACAATGGAAATTCTCAGTAGGAATTGGATATCTAACTCTCCTTCGCAAATCCAAGAGCTAATAGCAGCAGATTTTGAATGATATATTAAAACTTACGATTCACCTGTTGCCATAACAAGACCTTCCTAGGCCAGATACATGGCTCATAACAAGACCTTTGTAATAAGCAAATTGCATCACATCTGCCAGCTGTCAGATTTTTATAGTTCGCTTTGAATTACCAAGTCATTGCCATCATTAGAGACAAGACACTTGCCTGGAAAGCCCAAGCAACTGTGTCAACTCTTCCACTCCTCTAAAGCATCCCGTGTTTTAACTGTGTTAGAATAAACCCTTCCACTCCTTTGGACCAAGTCAGAATTGGACTCTCTTGACCAGCTGGTTACCCATATAAAACGTTCACTGCAATACATCTGCATACATCTATGAAAGGAGAAAATATAATCACTTTATTTTCAGTATACAGACTAAATCCCACCATAAAATAAAGATAATGAGTGAGTACACATGAATTAAATACTCTGCACTTAAAAAAAAGCCCACTTTTGCCATGTCTGCTGAATCCATCGTTCGCCATGTGGCGCTCACAGCTCTCCAGCGTTGTTTCCAGAAGTGGCTGCAGTACTCCCGGCAGCAACGCTCCATCTACTACAATTCAAAAAACGCTCCCAGTTTGCATATAAGTGCTACATTTTCCTGTATGCCTTGAAATACTAATTAGGTACAACACTATTTCATCATCTCTGCTCCCAGACTATGACAGGTCCCCCTCCCACCCTTACACCAAAGCAAGAAGAATTACTTTTACAAGGAGGTAAAATCAGCAAGTTGTAGCAATACAAACCCTTCAGAAGTGCAGGACAATGGCATACTGCGATCTGCAGCAGGAGAATATTCAGCACGGACAGCAAGACATAATACTGATGAGTTGTACACACGCACATGCACACCATCACCTCCATAAAGCTTTCTGCACGGTGCGACTCCTTCCATGTCACACGCTTTTCACAGGAAAAAAGAAAAAGCCCTTCTCAAATTTAGCCCATTTAAAGCTGCCAACAAAATTTGATTCTGTGTACTATCAATACATGTTATTGCTTGTAGTAAATTGGAGAAGATTTGGACCTACACAAGAGATTCGCTTGCAAAGCACAAAGGTCACCAGTGGCCCCTACGCAGTTTTACAAACTGATCATTGCAGCTGGTACTTCCCGCACCCTCCACACCAGCGGTCGGCTACAATACTCTGCAGTTCTAAACATGCGTCGTACCATCCTCTAGAAAACATAGTCAGTGTCTTCTCTGACTCATTTAAATACACAAGAGCAGTCTGCATAAAGAAGTGTTACAGTTAATTTTACAAAATTCATCACATTCATCTTTGTTCGTTCACCCGAAAAACAGGTGACCTGGGCTGTAACGACAAAGGCCAGCAGTGCCTAATCCTCTCAAAATCCAAATGTCAAGAGAAGAGGAGCTGACATTATCGCAGAGATATTTTACATGCCCAGCAGAGCAGACGCATTCTCACTGGATTTTCAGGTGGCCAATGACCTACCTCGCCCATGGTGAACCCGACCAAAGTGTTTAAGAATCCAGTCTTTACATCTTGCACTTCTAATTGAATGTAAAGTTTACAATTGAGTGCCTTTAAGGAGTAATAAAGCAGCTCTTAGGATTTCTTCCAAGCAAACACTGACTCAAAGGCTCAATACAAACTCACAGTGTTACATAGGAACATCAGCCCATTCTAGACCCCCAGCCAGTCACTGACAACTCCCTAGATCTTCTCTTAAAGTTACATGCTGCACAATCACTTTCTTTGCTAATGCATCCTGACTATAACCTTGTTTTATAGCCTCTCTTGCTAATTATACTCTTCAAATCAGTTCTGACTGCAAATGCTGTCCTTAACTTAGTATCATAAAATTGATAGATTATTTCCAGTCTACTGCTCCAGAGCAATGCCACCTGTAAAAACATACAACTAATTCTTCCAGGAGGTGATCCAAACCAGCTCTGTTCTCAAACAGCAGATTGGCGAAGGCGGGCTGCAGATTGCAAAGTCTCCAAGTTTTCCATACCATGAAGTGAGGTAGCAACAAGCAGCCTTTGAAACAGCATTGTCTCTATATTTTTCCCTAGTATTAAATCCCTTTTCCACACAATTTAGTGAGTGAACTAGAGGCTTATCTGGAGCAGTGGAAGAAGAAAAGAGATGGTAAATAAATAATGAATGATAAGAAGAACTAGGCCAATAGTTTTGCAAAGTTTTCGTTTTTGGTACCAGCACTGAGCACTGCTCGTTTTCAGGTGGAGAGGAATACAAAACACTTCAGTCTCTCTGTGAGCTTAAAGTCCAAGTGACTTCTGCACAATCTGCTTGGCAATTTTGTTAAACTGTTCTCTGTCTTCCCGCCACATCTTGGAGGCATCTACATTGGCTCCACTTTCATCATTTGGCTCTGAAACGAGAAAGACTGAAAGATAGGTGGGCAGGCAGGCAATGGAGCAAGACCCTCTCGCTTTTTCAATAATGCCTCTGTACTGCCACTTCCCTGTGGCTTTGGCACACTTGCCCTGTAGTCCTGCTTGGGACTACAGAAACACCACTAAAGAAAATCCAGTGACAGCTGCTGGATTCCTGAACGATTCTGATTTAACTGATCACAAGAGAATATCACAGCAAGGTTGAGTTTAGGTACGAAACAAGTGGCAGAGGAGCAGGACTTTCTTTTGTTTATCCTCTCAGCAGCTGAGCCCCTGCGTGCACATGGAACAACACAATGCGGCACCACCAGCGCCATCAAGGGTTTTTAAAACTGCACACTGCTCCCTGCAAAATGTTTTTTCTGGTTCTGCGGCTTCACAGACACAAAGCCCTCCCGACCAGGCCACCCAAACAGGCTCTGTCACTCTTTGGGATGGCTTGTTCTATTAAAAAACAACAAAACAAACCAAGAAAACCCATAGAATGCTTTCATTTCTGCAACATCTTTCATCCGAGGATTCAAGAGCCCTTTACAAAGTACGTTAAGCCCCTATGACTCCAACACTTCAATTTGTACAGAGGTAAGCTGAAACGCAGGATTTATCAAGTTCGTGGTCAGCATACAGCAGGACAACTGTCATGGGATTACACAAGTCACTAAGAATGTACTCTACCCATTTTGCTTCACACACTAGTCCAAATCCACCCCAGCCCAGTTCATGGCAGACATCTTGGGCTCATGTCTTTCTCGACACAATGCTCATGGTCTACCCTTAAAAGCCAGTAGATGCGCAGGTCACCCAGTTTGGTCCGCTTGGGCTTACGCTATCTGCAGAGCCAGAGCCAAGAGTTTGCCAGCAGCCTGAAAGAAGCTGACCGTTGATGTTTTAGACTAATTCCTCCAAAAGCCATGGGAAAACAGGACGCACAGGCAGAGAACAAGAGAGACCAGGTGACTCCCTAACCAGTCTAGGTAAGGCTGCACCACAAACCAACTTCTTGGAGGCCATGGGAAGCCCAGCAAAGTACTCTTTGTCTGCACAGCTTCCCAACAGTAGGTTACTACTCCGAAGCTAAAACGGTCCCATGTAAGAATCTGTTGCTTGCTCTTTGATCAACTTTGCTGCTTCTAAACACTCTAAACCATCTAAAATCTTTTATCATTCAAAACTGATTCTAAGGGAGACGGCTCTGCCTTTTTCAGGCAGTTCAGTGGCTCTGTCCACTATGCAGAGAAGGATCCATCTTTCAGGGAGCTGTACATGACAGAGCTGATCCAGGGCCCTTGCTGGATTTAGGGAAAGCCATTTAAAAGACTGCACAAAGAGTTTTTCACCCCACCCCTCTTCTCAAGAAGCCTTCCTCTGAACCAGAGATGGCAGAATGAGCTACGTTCCCAGGCTGGCAAATAACAAACAGAAATGGAGGGTGCTGGCTTGTGAATCACAAGGCCATGGACTCCAGTTTACCGTACCGGTTAGATCTGGCTGCTGCTAAAGCCAAATCCAACACAGGCTGTAATCAATAGCTTTAAGACCTGCAAGAGCTGAACAGACATCACAGCAAATACAAAGATGGAGCACAGGTTTTGTGCAGGAGCAGGGAACCAGCTGAGCCTCCGGACCCACCTGACCATCACCATCTGCTCGGTTGCTGCCAACCTGGAGGCAAAGCAGCAGTCGCTGCTGGAAACACCTGTTTACTAAATCAGTCTTATTTTTTTGAATTATTTTCAGAGAACTGGTTTATTAATAAATAAATACTACGGCTTTAAGAACTGTCGTTGCTGCTGAGCAGCTTTAAATGTCCTTTGCTCACTTAACAAATCAAACAGCAAGAAGCAGCTCGATCGAACTCAGTAACTGCTATCTGAGCTACTGCTAATAAAACAGCAATCCTTACCTGCCAGCATGCTAACAACCGACAAGAGGATCTTTTCCACACTCTGCACGGGACTCCACCGCTCAGCGCTGCTCTCATATCCCATGGGATCATCCCCAGGAGCGTGAAGAATAGAGATGCAAACTCTCCCATCTGGGTAAACTGCACGAGAAGTACAGGGGATTGATTGTTACTCAGTGGAAACACGCAGCCTCTCCAGATGTCTAGCACAGATGAACGTTTGGACTTGGCCTTCATATGAATGAAGCTAAACCCAGTCTTAAATTTCCTCTTCCAAAGGCAAGAGGACACAAAATCTGAAAGACAAAAATCTAGCAAAAATTTCCTTTAAGCAAATCTAACAAACTTGGGTCATCCTCGCCCAACAGAAGCCTGCTGGGAGCATTCGTGTCATTTAATAACCAGTGACAGGCTCCACGGAAAAAATAAAAGATGCAGCCTTCTGGAACAAGGCGAGTATTTATGCACAGACACAGCTCCAAGTAGGTAACCAGTCCTTCTTAAATCGAAGGGCAATAGTCACACACCACTGAATGCACGTTGGAGTCCTCCACTGGACCGTGACCGTAAAAAGAATTAGGCAAACTTGCTCTGCTGCAGCAAGAAGGGAAAAGTGGTATGTTACAAACAATACAATTGACCTTATTTTGAACATTACTGAGGTGCAACCAGAAGAGTTCACACTACTTTTTAAAATTTTGCTTAAAGCTCAGCTGTATTAAAGCACATGGAAGCAAGGTAACCTATCAATCAAGGATACAGACATCGTCCCCTCCCACCTTTAGCATAAGGCAAAGCATCTGCAACAGTACAAGCCGTCTTCACAAACACTGGACTCCACTCACTTGATAATGAGTCCAAAGAAAGGTTGAACAGGCAACGGCATCTGCAACAGTACAAGCCGTCTTCACAGACACTGGACTCCACTCACTTGATAATGAATCCAAAGAAAGGTTGAACAGGCAACACAAAGAGAATGGAGTTCAAAACACTGCTTTAGCAACATGGCCTAATTCTGCAGCTTCCCAAGGAATGACAACTTTAGCCCAGTAATCTCAGTGCTTCTATTCCTCGGGTGACCAAACCTGTGCCATTGTCAGGAAAACGTGACAAAACAAAAAGAGGGAACGACCACTGGAAGCAGTTGTGCTCATTTCCAGTTCCTCCCATTCACCCAGCTAATGTCTGCACAAGCCTGCAACACGTAAGCGCTTTGGAAGACTTTTATTTACATCCCCTCCTGCAGCCCCAGGCTGGGGACTGGGGCTGGTCTAGCCGTAGCTGGAAGAGATGAAAACAGCACGTGCTGAATCAGCACTTCTCCTTGCAAGTTAGGAACACACTGGTAGAAGGTTTCACTTGTAAGTTACTCTAGTGTTTTTATGCAGTGCCTCATTTAAAACAGCTGGACGACAGCAGCACAGTCAAGACAGCAAAGACTGATTCCTGGAAGATGTATGCATCTTCCCACTTTGTCATTACGTGCTAATGCAAGACTTGCCATTAATCGCTACTTTGAAGTTATCTTCGCCAGAGCATCCATGAACATAATTTCATTTTAAGAAAAGATAGTTCTGTGGCATCTCAATTCCTCCTGTACATAACACAAACTGCAAAGATAAGGTAACACAGCAGACTTTTTAAACATTTTTCCTTGCAATTCCTCACAGGTGGAGGAGTAAGCACTTAAGGAACAGAAAAAGCACAGCACAGCCACCCATTTCTACAAGCCTTTCTGGGTATAACCAGGCCATCACAATCCCACCTGAGAAGAAAGATTCAAGCATCTACTTTTGCTGATCTCAACTTCAGATTAATGTGACCCAGAGTCACAGGACTTTAAAGAGCTGAGCTGACCATCCAGTATGTTCCAGTTAACCCCACCGAGGAAGCGCCCACATGTAGAGCTATTCTGTGAGGCAGTTTGTGCCTCTCCGCACCCTACTCCTCCCAGCTATGCTGCACACAAAGCAGCTGCGAGCAGCGAACCTCAAGCCAAGGCCAGAACTGGAGCTGCAGAGTATTGTGTGGACATGGATTTGCTCGTGGAGACCAGTCCTGCCAAGAAATTTGGGTGAAATAGTCCAGCTGGAGCAAGGTGCCGATGCGGCCACGCTTTTTCCAGGTACCAAACGCTGCACTGCTGCAGACATCAGAGCTTCAGAGGTGATGCTACACTGCCTTGGGCACGTCTGCACAGTTCTACGCTGTGATGTGCAGGTGTGTCCTCCATAGAACAGAAAGATGGGCTTGCTTGTGGATTAAATGGGCAAGTATCTGCATCAGTGGTCTTTTGAGAAGGGAAGAACAGAGGATCTTAAAGAAATTGCAAAATTCCTTGGAATAGGATGAAATAAATTGATTCCCAGCTGAGATTAAGTTTTCTGTTATGCAAGTGCAGGAACGACAGCTGGAAAGGAAACACAAGGCAGGAGGGCACCATTTTCCTTTTATTGCTCTCAAGTGGCAGACACCTAATAGCCTAGAATACAGATCCAGCCCATCGAATCTGGGTGATGATAAACAATCCTTACACAATCCATGTTGATTTAGCAGATGTCGTAAGCAACATCGAGGCTGACTCCAGAAAATAGTGCTCCAGGCTGTGAAAGGGGCTTTAAGGTTTTTACCTGTCCAAGGCTCAAACTTATTAGCTGTACTTGTTACTTCAATTACTTCCACTGAAAAGTCTTAAGATAATATTGTCACCATCAAAATTGCAGAGAAAAGGCCAGCGAAGTCTTAATATTAAATGCCTGCAAATGTGTCATCTGCTTGGACAGAGCACTCTGTATTTCAGAAAGATGACACCAGAAATGTTACTAAACTCGTGACTTAACGGGGAAGAAGCCATGCTGCCAAATAAAGCTGCATCCAAACTTTGACCAATATGAACAAATTTTCACTCGTTAAAATAACACCAAACTACTTCAATACAAGCCACAGAGCGAGACTAGAAAGAGTCTGTGTTAATTCACTAAATCTCACATCATATACAGAAGATTTATCTTCAGACTAGTTATACAACAGTTATAAGCATTCCTGGAACGATCTTAAAGGCAGTGAAATTGCTGGAATCTTTACTGGACTGTTCATGACCAAAAGGTATATGAGGAATAATGCGATAAAGTGACCCTAAGACAGCGCAAAATTGCTGGACAGCTGAACGCTCCTACTGCATACTCAAGGTTGGAAAGGAGGAGAACCACCCTTGGTAAGGACAGCAGCTCTCCTGCTGCAAAAGTTTGTTTTTAAGGTGCACAAGCAACCCACTTCCCCATACGTCCTGCTGCGTCAGACTCACTGTTTGGATGGAACATCTCGCACGTGAACCTCATCTTCGGAGGACTTAACGGGTAGTCGAGTGGAAAGCTCAGAATAGCAGGGAAAACCCCATACTCGAAACAGGTGTCTTCAGGACCCCTAGAAACAGATAAAAAGCTATTCACCAGAGTTTTACATAGTTCTTTCACCCAAATTCTTGTCTAATGAGACATTTGAGATTTGGGTTATATTATCTTCTCCAGAAAACAAAGAGTTAACACACTTTTACCCCACACCTCATAAACTTAAATCCAAATATGGGGTTTGGGAGGGAAGGGGGAAATCAAAGCTTGCACACTAAATTACTAGGAAGGTCACAACACTGCTTAATTAGCAGGGTGTGTCTGGATATAACTGGAGTATCTGGCTCCAAGGCATGTTCCAGGATTTGAGCGTCTGCATGTCAAGAGAAAGCAGAGGCAGGTGTGGGACTCCTGTGCCTTTGAAGATACTGTTACGCTGCACAAGACAGAGGTGTCAAATGCTGTAGCTCAAAAATAATTTATAAAACCTATGGAGATTCAAACTGCCAGTATCAAGCATAACCACACATAAACACTTATCACTATCTGATGCAAAAAACACAGCAATGTTTTGTAAAAATAAAAACACAGCTCAGGGACTATAATTGCTAGATGCAGGACAACAATGTTTCTTTGCAGACTTAAAGTATTTAGTTTGCACTCCCTCCAGTGCACGTGGAGAACAAATGGCTTCATCAGGGTTCTTGTAGAAACATTTCCTTATTGTGTTCATCATCTAGTTCAAAGTGCAACCAAGTTGAGAATATAAAGACAGCTATTTTACCCTCCCTACATAAAACATTTTTGGAAGGTGAGCAAAAAAGTTTATTAGACATGATTTATTCAAACTTGATGAACCATCTGGAAGTTATAACACAAACATGATCTCCCCTGATTGGAAAGATCATGAAACAAGCTTCATCACTGAAAACCTTAGCCAAGGAAACCTCATGTATTTAGTAAAAAGCTCTTCAAACAAGGGTTATACTGTCTGGGAAATACGGTTTAGGAATATATTCATGCCTCCTCCTCCCAATCCACATTCTCCATGCCCAAAAGAACATAAAAGTTCAAGGACTCCTAACAGTTAAGACTGCAATTGGTAACCTACAGAGAAAGAAAATTGAGACCAGCAAAACCTAAAGCCCTAGGAGGCTCACTCTCAAACTTTGGGATTCAAAAGACTTGGTTGGTAGATAAACACAAGAACTACATGATTTAAACCTGAATATTGACACTGGCAGGTAAGATTAGAGAAATGCATCAACATACTGCAAGAATGAAAGCTAAACCATCTCAACCATTTTGTTCCCTTTCTGGCCTTTTCCCTAAATTTAGTCGGGATTCAATTCACATCTGAGAGTAAACTGAATGCATTTTTTCATGAACATTCCAGCTGCATTTTAAAGGCTTATTGTTGAACTTCTAAGAGTATGTACATACACGCATTGAAAAGCTGGTGGGTGTCTTATGTTCTGAGAGCAAACACACAGCCTCAAGGGCTCTTCTGTAAAATATGTTAACCCAACACACTCCATTTTAGGGCCCGTATTATGTGCGCAAAATGCTTTTGTTTTAGCAAAAACACTGCTGCCAGGATCAACTTCAAAGAAATTATTAAAGTTAATCCAAGACAGCATTTGCAACTACAAAACGCTCAGGAAGCCGCAACATTTAAACTTGACAGCATCACTTTCAGTTCAAAAAGGACATCGGCAGGGCCAGAGAGGTAAAGAGCACAGCACCTTTTGCAATCACACCACCTGCTCTGCAAAGATTTCAAAGTACACCACATTCAAAGCCTCCGTGCCTTATGCTATGATCTCATCTGAGCTGCTATGCTAGCTGAAGTCCAGACTACCCAGTACTTGATTAGGCTTCCTCCAAGAAACACCCAGACCGTGGGGTGGTGACACCCGTCCCACTGAGCAAAGAGCACCGAGCCAACAGGCCAGTTGCCTTAAGCAGCTCCTGTACCCCAGGAAAGACAAAGCATCTGCCATCACTAACCGTGCGCACACGGAAGGCACTCATTCTGCGCAGGCTTGAGGCATGTAACCCTGAGAAAAACCTCGTCTTAAACCTGCTCCATCTAACACTCTTTACAGCAAAGCAGGCAGGTTCTGCATCTTCTTCCGTGCATGATGCTACTCTACAGACTTCCCTAAAGCACTGAGGAGCGGACACCCGTTCTCCTCCAGCCATTATATGGCATTAAATGACTTGCTAGACAACCAGACTGTTTAGTTGTGTGAGAGGTGTTACAAACAACTTTGTTGACATAAGACATAGCATGAAAATAAGAAACTCTAAACTCCATGAGCTGGCTATTACTTGGGCAAGAGGAAGAAAAGGATTGCAGGTATCTGCCAAAATAGGAGGGGAAAGCGCATTGAGAGGGACAATTAATTCTGTAATCATAGCTTCATGTACATTTGTAAATGGCTTCTTATTTGTAAAAAGACGCTGGAAAACGACCAAAACCCACAGTCATCAGATGCCGAAAAGGGGAATTCCATGCTAAACAAAAGTCATAAGCCTAATTATAGATCTAGTTACCTTTCTAGACAGGTTTTTGATAAGTTGACTTCAATTTATACTGTTTAGTTTTCAAGCAATCTTTAGGCTAATAAAGTTCTTAACAATTATGTGGTTTTGTGTCTTTTGGGGATAAACTTTAATAGCAACACATACTTGTATATGCCAACCAAAGAGGGCAAAACTTGGTCCTGAAATGTTAAATTCACAAACTTTCAAAACACGATGCAGCCTGTGGGACCTCACGCAGCGCTAAGGAATTGAGCGGCATTATGGTAAACTCTCTTGACGTGCTGGGGCTATTTATCATCACGAATAAGTCACCCTGTTGCAAGATTTGGCTTTCATAAATTCTCTAATTCAGCTACTGTTTGATGTCTCATCAAAAGGGTACAATTCACATCAGGCTCCAAACCTCCACTGTTCAGAAAGATTACCACATTGTATTTTCAGTTCTGGATCTATTATACTCACTTTGGGAGCGTAAGAACTGTTCTACCATTCACGCACGTCAATACAGCCTTAATATTTATATGTTTAACATCTATCCAGCACTGCTGCTGCAGGCAAGAACACCAGAAATACAAATTATTTTACCATTATTTTAAAAGGCATTATTTTATCTCCGAGCCAAGCTCTTACATCAATCTGTGTAACATTACCCAGCACACCTCTGAATTGATAAATAGGCAATGTCTTTTCTCTCTTAGGTCTCTTTTTTTTTTAATTTATTTGCCATTACATGTGCTCTAGCTTTATATAAATTGAAGGAAAAAAAAAGTATTCTGTTCTCTTCATTATTACGCTACTTACCTTTTGCACTTCATCTGTCTAAAAATTTGAAGCCAACTTTACTTTAATTTCTTCACCTGCACTTCTTTCATTCCCAGAATCTCACACAGCACATTTGAGATTACAAAACATTTGAGAAGATTATCACAGACAACTATAAACAAGTCATTTAGCTTGCTTTCCAAATGTACGCAAACACTTCTACTAATAGAGTTTTGTAAAGAGATGAAAGTAACCAAACGTGTTTAGGGTAAACATGTTTCTATTGTACCACAGCTTCAGAATTTAGCAGATCTTAAAGTATAATTTTATTATGACACACACATAATACAGAAACCAAAATTAAAGCACCTCCGCCTCTCATTTTGCACTGACAAAGACCTGAAGCTCAACACTCAGCACTTTAAAGGGCTTTCAAGTCTGCAAGCAGCTCCTCTGTTGTTTAAGAATTTGTTATGGGAAACATCAGAAAAAGTATTTTCTAGATAATGAATCAAATCCGAAAGTACCTCTGTGTGTCCCCCATGAAAGCTCTACTTAACCGCACAATCTCTGCTACGAGAAAGTACCGATAGGCAGGAATTTCCTTCCATATTCCAAGAAGTGCATTAAATCCTCTGGGATTTCTACACTCCAAGCAATGCACAGCTGTCTGAACTGAAATTTGGTACATTACAAAGCGCATGTTTCAGAAGAGTGATAACTATCCCACTTGCAGAAAGAGAAAGCGTAAGACACTGCAGCCAGAATCTTTGGTGTCAGGCAACAAATTACCTATTTCTATGCTAAGTGTTTATTTTCAGGCGACTGAGCTACCAGGAAGTACAACCTGTTCATCACAGGATAAATTGCTGCACGTAAGCAGAGGCATTTGCCAACTCTTCATATCAATCAGCAAACAAGCAGTGGTAATCCAAACCTCCATTTACCAAGGCCTAAAATAACTCAGAGGCTCACGCTTGCCGTAAAGTAGGATCACCCACGCAGCCAGCTTGTGTGGAATAGGTGATATGCTACAGCTTGGGACGCTTTTGTATTGGTTGCGTGTCTGATCCCAAGAGACAGAAATCTTGTTTTTCATCCCTAGTCAACACACTCCAAGCAAACCGAGCTAGGAAAATTCTGCCACCCACGCTAGTTGAGAATCTCATAAGTCAGCACTGGTGGTTGCAGTGAAAACCTGGCAAGAGCACAGCAGGCACACTGCGAGTGGGGCCATGGCCACTGCCTGCCGCCCCCGGTGTCCTCCAGGACCCCTCTGGTCCTGGCTGAAGGAAAGGAAATCACCAACTCTTACTAAAGGAATCTTGAAATACAGAGCCTGGATCTACCCTAACAACAGACCATCAGCTTCAAGACAGACTTAGCGGTTTGGAGCTTCTTCATCTTTTAATTCTGTAGCTTTTAATGCATTAATGGTCAGACCCAAGTGACAAAGGTCTCTTTTCCTCTCCCTTACTGTTTTAGAGCTTTATTTTGTAAAAATCACCAGTTATTCCATGTACTCAAAGTTCCCAAAGAATCATGAGTAAGAAGTACAAGCAAGAGAGAAGACAACTTGCACGATACTGGGCAAGAAGGTTTTGTCTTTTCATGGCAAGTTTTGCTACGAACAACCGTACCCGTCAGTTCAGGAGTGGAAGGGGGAGGACACAGCTTTATAAAGAAGTCTTTGTCACCCCCCCAAAACACAACAGGTAGCGATCAGAGCTATTCACCAACAGAAGAGCTTTCTACACAGAACAACTGCACCCAACGTCTTTACAACACCAGCCGATTCATGAAGTGTAAAGAATTTTAAAAGATTTTTTTTTTTTAATTTGAATACTTTCTCAGATCAATCCCCTTCCATTTTTCTAGAAAAAATTTGAACAGTAAATAAAATAATTTTAGACATTGATTTTTTTCTCCTATCACTGCTAATCTCTGTATTTTGCTCCACTTAAAACATGAGAAAAACCTGTCCTGTATTTGCAGTCGAGTAAAGTTCCCAACAGGTTTGTGTGATCTACAAGCAATTCATTGTTTCCTACAGTGTTTGTATATGCAACGTATATCCAAGGGAGCCCAAATGAGGATTCCCATCAAATTTACAAGTTAGTTACGCTGAATGTTGCTTATTATAATGATGACACCTGTACAACAAATGGTCACTTAAGTCCCAATGCTGCCTCTGTCACACTGTTTCAATTCCAAATATAATTCCCTGTTTGGGTCAGAAAAGACGTTCCCAGCAAAGGCAGGCCAAGATCGATGTTATGCAGAACTGAGATTTTTTTTTTTTTACATTTTTGTTCTCCTAGAAGCTAATCATAGCGTGCAAGTGCGGATTTCAGATACAAACCAGTATTAACTCACATAATCAGAGCTTCCCATTCAAAGAAGTTCTCTTCATTCATGGGACCTATTAAGAAAAAACAAAACAATGCTTAGCGCTACCTGAATGCAAGGTTACAGCTTCACAGTGCAAAAACCCTGCTCAGCTCCTCACCTGCCACTATCCCTTCTGGTGGGTTCAGGGTCAGCTCTGTAAAAACAAAAACACAAGGAAGGTTAACATGACCTGCAAGCCCAAGCATTTCAGCTAGCGTTTGGGTGGCCACAGCTTAGCACAGAGGCCCCACCAGCAAACAGCCTTGGAGAAAAGCTTGAGGACACCATGGGAGGAATCTTCTGGCCATGCTTTACTGGGCAAGACTCCACATCCAGAAGGCCCAGTACCCCACTGCTGACAATTTAACTTCTTCATGCAAGGCAGTTTTCTAGACAAAATTATTTGGCATTTTGTGCCTTTCCAGGCTCCCAGAATTAGTCTTCCCAGGGGCAACAATTTAAAACTGAGAAGGAAGGAAAAAACCTCTTTCCACAAAGCATGGGGAACACTCTCCTCTCGGGGCACTGTGGTATCTGCAGGTACAAACTCAACAGCCTGAAGAGAAAACGGGTTGTATTCCAGTAACCTCTCTGCACCAATTCAGACTTGACAGCATCTCAATACAAACCCCAAAAATGCCGTAAAAAGGTGGAGAAGCAAAGCAAGAGAGATTTGACAAGCATCTCTGTTCCTTGAATTCAATCCAACTCCTCCTGCCTGGCCTTTTCCAAAAGGCGAGTAAAAAAAGATGCAGCAAACAAAAAGCAGCTATGGCTGCACATGGCAAGTTTAGATCCATCAACCCTCACCTTCTGTAGGAAACTGGTACAATTCCCAATTCGTACAATAGCCTTCAGCATCAGCACCTCATTTCAAGCCTGCTGAAGCCCAGCACACTGTGCGCTGATAAAATAATAACCAGGTTTTCTACTATCTAGTGCAATGACCATCAGCTTCCAGTTTCTGAAGTCCTGCGGGGTGGTAGCCACTGGCGAGGCAAAGTTCAACCATGCACAGGCAACCAGCGGACCTGCAGTCCCTGGGGGGCTGAACACCAGCCCCACAGCTCTGAGCGAGACACGGGGCAGGCGGCGGGACCGGCGGCAGGAGGCGACGCTCCGAGGGTGTCAGACTGGAGGAGGTGACAGTAATTAGGCCAACTTACGTAAGGGCTGTGAGCTGCTTATCTAGAACAGTGTTTCCTAACCGATGGCCTGTGGACTACTAGTGGCCCGTAACACACAAAACGCAGCCACAGAAAATGCCATGTGCATTCCCACGCATGGAAACAAGCACAAATGCGGACCCGGGGAAGGTGGGAAGTCACAAACCAATAAACGAGACACTTGACCTCATTTCTGTTAAGCTATACGTGAAAATTGTCGGTAGCGCAGCACAAAACAGTGCAGATTTTTGTCTTAAAACAGCTAAGTTGGATTAAAAATGTGCTGAGATACACCAACAGGAAAGATAGCAAAACTCTTCAGTTCACTCAGACTGCCATTAACTTTGGCACAGACCTCTGATTGAAGTTCAAAAGCACAGCAGCAGATTGAAACTCAGCGTTACGGTTTCCCACAACGTCTTGACGTTAAGGAGCAGGTTTTACCAGCTTGATAGTGGGTCTCTAACAGCTTTTCTTGTTGATGTTTTTAGACAGAAAGAGGGAGATGTCAAACCCAGGAGCTCCTGGAATCATTTTGCTCCATCTTGTGGCTCTCTCTAAAAAGAAAATCCCTCTGATGTTTCCCACGATTTCCCTTGAAAACCCCAGGAGCATTTTCATTTCAGGCCCCACGCTGGCAGACAGCCCCTGCGACTGCCCGGTGGCAGCATCTGGGTGTCCCCTGCAGCAGGCAGCCACGCAGAGGTGTGCCGTACAGCATTCCACCCCCAAGGAAAACCGGGGCGACGGGAATTAAGAGCCAAACCCTGCCGAGCAAAGGGTCTTTACGAGGATGGAGGTTCAATTCTCCACCTTGCTCAGCTCTCCCCTCGGAGATAGGTGAAAGGTTTCCATCCTTAAGGATTAGGCAAAGCAGTAACTTGGTGGTTCAGGGGCACATGAGCTTTGATTTTGAGTGGCTGCTACTATACCTGGTCATTGAGGAAGGAAAAAACCCTTTTCCACGTGGATGGTCACGTCCTACCCTGTGATTTCTCTAGAGCCATTCAAAGGGAAATTGGGAACACAGCTTTCAGGAACTACACAGCATGAATTGCCAGTAGCTGCCACAGCATCAGCTGCTTCAGTCTTACCAGAGCCTCCAAAATAGGGTCATTTTAATGGGAAGTCAGGGGAAAATTTTTGCTGATTATTTTTAAGAGAGCAGCAAAAAGCATTCAATCAGAGCATGTGGTTTAACCTTTCACTGCAGAACGACTTTGACAAGTCAGCTAGGCAAACAGCCCCCTACTCCACTCTCCTAGGCCACCCCGTCCCTCTGCGGCTGTCCTCCCAAGCAAGTCATGTGGCATGACAGGAGCACAGAGGCAGATGAAACAGCCCACCCTCTGCTCTCCAGGCATCCAGCCTGGGGGTAACTTCTGGCTAGCTGGAATCTGGCCTCCTGGCCTCCTGGCCTCCTGGCCTGCAAGACGCACCCCCGTCGCATGCATGGTTTGAAGCTTTCCCAAGGAAAGCTCTCCCCCTCTGCAACTGCCATGCCACGCTGTCCTCATCACGCCTATCCACCCCTGACAGCAGCGTGCCAGCGCACACCCACACCCCAGCCACCACCACCCGATGGCCTCAAACACTGATGTGCCACTTCGTTTCTTGCATGCACTATTTCCCAGCGACAGCAAGGAGCTGAGCCCTCTGCCCGTGCTGAGCAGGGACAGCATCCAACACGAGGCGTTGACAGGGGAAATGCGGATCCTGAAGCTACACCAGCTACTTGAGAGAGGCAGCTTGTACGAACTGAGAGCCACCTCCCTTGATCCCCCTTCTCCAAGGGGCAAGATCAGCACAAAGACTTTGCAGGAGCCCTTGGATGTAGCAGCTCCTTGCCCATGGCTGACCAGTGACTGCAGGTCCAGGAAAAAACCTCCGAGGAGTGGAACGTCATGATCCATGGGACAACCGAGCTGGGAGCAGAGCTGTCAGACACAGAGGGGCCCTCCCGCTGCGTTGGCACTGCAGCTCCACCACCCTCACCTGGAGCTGCGGGACCCCGTGCCTGTGTTGGAGCACAGCCCCCGTTCTGCAGAGCATTACGACTTCCCCCGGCTACCAGCGGGCAGATAACCTCTTTGGGGAAGGCAGAGCCAGGCCACCACCTTCCTGTGCAGGTATTTCTACACAGTGCCAACTACCAGAGCTGCCATCAGCAGGAGCCGTGGGATAAAGCAGCCTCCCCACACTCCCACGGAGTACTCTACCGCCAGGCAAGCCTCCAGGGTTCCTACGGAGCAAACGCACGAGCAGCAACGTCCTATTAAGGGATTCCAAGAGGCGGAAGGACAAGCAGTCAATGTGGAAAAAAGGATAAAACAGAAAGCCAGAAAAGGAATCAGTTTTGAAAGAGATAAAGGGAAAGGCCAAGAAAAGCCTCTGCAGAAAACAAAGGAGCGGCAGAGTCACGAGGAGAAGCTGAGGCTGGCAGCTGCTGCTGGAAGGGAAGGTTGTGGTGATGTATAGGCACCTATACATCACCACAACCACGTCAGGGTGCCTCAGGCTCTGGGGGGTTGTGGGGAGCTCTCTACTCAGACACGTTTTGGGTGCATGTTGGAGGAGCCCATGGTGGTGGAACCCACCAACTGATTCAGAGCAACGTCTCTCTTCAGCGCTGGAGAGCATTTGGAGCAGTTTCCATCTTCACATCCTCCACAAGGCATCCTGTTCGGTTTGCAGGGTGGTTTTGCTGCACGCAGTCAGGGGATTTGCTTCCAATCGAAACGCAATGAAGTCCCATAGCTAAACCTTACTTTAAAGTTTTGCTTGTAAGCCGAGACTGAATGAAACTAGCGAAGTGCAACGCTTCTGTTGGGAACTTGGGACAGATTTGGGTGCACACACAATCAATGCCTTCCTCTTCATTTCACTGCTCATTATGGAGTCATTATAGGCCAATTACGCCTTGGCCAAAAGGAGGAGAACTGAAAACACACCTTCTTGTTAAATGCAGTTAATAAAAAGATTGATCACATTCTTAAAAGAGAACTTCAACAGTACGCTTTCTAAAAACTGTATCAATTTAGCGTATCTCCAAGGTGATTAAACACACAAGACTCAAGAAATATTAAGGGCATATACACACTTCTGACAGCATCTGGACTGAGATGCTTGAAACCAGAATCTTGTTCTTTCTATTCTGCCAGAAATTCTGTTTTCTTCTCTCTCTTCTCTGACATAGCATCCAATTGGCATAAGGCAGTTTGAGCTCACGCAGACACACGATGCAGTGCGTGTCTGAGATATTGAGATATTTCCTAGTTATGCTTAGGAAAGAGCATTTTCAAAGCAGGTTTAACAGGGACAGCTGCAGAGGCCTACTGCAAACGCTCATCCCTCTCCTCCCCCTGGAAAGAGCAGCTCGTCACAATCCGCCCCACCGCAGCAGGAGTTTTCTTCCAGCTCACACGAACTCTCTCCAAGCAATAAGGACAGGAAGCATGCATTGAAGTGCTGCCAGATTTTGTTCTGTACGACGAAGGTGTATTTTTTCTATGAATTCTGAAATCTCAGAATTAACTTATATCTCGTATTTTTAACCCAACAGCACTCCCAATGATACCTGTTGGCATTGCAATCCACTGCTCTGTTACCTGTTTGTGCCAGAAAGGAAATACAGTGCGTACAACTAGGCACTATAATACTTGCAGATTTTACTTAATACTTTCAAAATAACCCATTCTAGATTTAAAAACTCAAGCCAGTGGTATCTTCAAGATCATGCAGGAAACAGTAAATGTAGAAAAAGAAGCATAAGCTGCTATTGAGAGACTAATTTCAGGCTTTAATACTACTAAGTATTCTAAATCTAGAATTAATAACAAACATATGCTCTAAAAGAAATGACGCTCTTTTTTATATCTGATTTTTTTCAAAGCTTTATCTAAATTAGTTCTGGCAGAGTAGAAAAATACTTGAATAAATATGAGACAGCAAAAAGTCATCACACTCCAAACACGCAAACGAAGATCTGAATGAGGACAAAAAAATCCGTCTCATCTGGCTGCCCACAGCCACCTTTCCTT